AACACACAAAAATGAGGCCAAACAAGGCCTAAGAGGGGGTAAACGACCCCAAATACAAAAGTGACCTTAATGAAGTATCTTAAACACAAAAAAATAGAACTTTTTTATGTTATACACAAAGCTCAAAACAGCAAGCAAGATAGGCTAAAAGTGTGTGCAAAAATGGAGAATAAAGAGGGAAAATGAGTTACCTTTGTAGCCAAAAGGGGACAGTAGCCTCTTGGTCCAAAAAAACAGTCCCTTAGCCTCTGAAAATGACCTCCAAGCTCCTTAGGTTGATGATGGAGGTGTTGTGCTAGGAGGTGTAGTTCAAATGGCCAAGAACTAGACCCTTTTGCACCTTCTAACCCACACAAATGTAGAGAGAGAGGGAGATATAGAGAGGGAGTGATATATATATGATATATATCGGATTTTTTCTAACTCTCTAAAGGGGAGGAGAGGCCCTCTTTTTATAGAGAAACCAAGGGGGCAAAGCTTCTCTTAGAAGCTTTGAGCAAAAAGGCCAAGCTTCTCTTAGAAGCTTTGAGCAAAAGGGTCAAGCTTCTTGGAGAAGCTAGGCAAAAGGGGTCAAGAGGTTCAAGCTTCTTCAAGAAGCTAAAAAAGGATCAAGCTTCTTGGAGAAGCTAAAAAAAGGGTCAAGCTTCTTAGAGAAGCTAAAAAGGGTCAAAAGGTTCAAGCTTCTTGGAGAAGCTAAAAAAGGATCAAGCTTCTTGGAGAAGCTAAAAAAAAGGGTCAAGCTTCTTAGAGAAGCTAAAAAGGGTTCAAAAGGTCAAGCTTCCTCAAGAAGCTAAAACCAAGAGTTCACAAGGTTCAAGCTTCCTCAAGAAGCTAAAACAAGAGATTCAAAAGGTTCAAACCCCCCCTCAGGAAAAGGTTTCGGCCAGAAAAAGTGGCTAATTGGCCAACAAAGTTGGCCAACCGACCACAAAATATGCCGACCGACCATTAACAATGCCGATCGGCCATCACCAGTGGCCGGTGGAAAGGAAACAAGGCCGGTGGCCTCAAGCCATGACCGGTGAGGTGTGGGGATGGCCTACAAGCTATTTCCCACCCTCAGAAGCAAAACAATAAGTGTTTGATGTAAAACCAAACACAAAACAAACAAGTCGAGAGGTTTTGAGGCAAGGCGCGTAGCCGAAACCTCCGAGAACTCAAGACGAACACGAACAGGGATGATCATCGAGTGTTCAAATGATGACGTCCAAGTCTTGAGGACGGTAAAAAATGGGGTGTCTACACTTCCCTGAATTGTTCTCTGATTCTGATATGTACACTCCTTTTTTTTCCCACATTTGCATTTTTTATTTTGAAAGAATCCAGCATCATTGTTTGAACTCGTTGACATGTCAATCCTAATTACAAGTAAACACAAAAGTCAATTTCAAATGCAACACAGATCTAACCACAGTTGAAGTTAAGAGATGTAGGTAACAAGTACGTAGACAGTCCAGTCAACATAAGTTCATAAGTTGATGTTAATCTTACTCACTTCAGCCAACTTCAGTTCATAAGTTCATATTACTTAACTAGCAAACAAGCATAAGTTGCAGACAAGCATACTCACTTCAGCCAACATCAGTTCATAAGATCATATTACTAGCCATCAGTTTTCATTAACATCAGCTTTCATAAGCATACTCTTTTAGTTTTGGATTTCCTAAACATAGACTGTCATGTATTTTTAATATTAGACTACCAACTCCAATTTTCATAAGTTTTCATCAATATTAATTTTTATCAAATGTATAAATGGTGACAAAAGTGATCTCAAGATTATCATATGTTTATATCCAACTGAAGCAAAAGTGACTCGTGCGTGATTAGTTTCAATTGAAACAAGGGAGGATTGAAGTTTCCTTCAAGTTTCTTCATAGTTTTTAGCATAAAAATACCATTTAATGGAAATATTTTTGAAGTCAGAGATGTTCTTAGCATGCTTTAATAACTCATATATCATATCAACTAAAAATGAAGACTTCAATAGATACAAAATTTAGTAGAATCATCTTTTGACCTTCAAAGCTCTAACATTGGAGGTCTTTCTTTGTTTCTCAAGGTTTTGAACAAATTTCAATTCATAATTCATCATTTTGTGAACTGTAGAGTTCTGTGAACTTTTGCTGAAAGCTTCTAATCCATATTAATTCTCTTCACAAAGGTTTTAACATTGTTTACCAAAAGTAAAATCTATGCAACTTAGGAAGCGATGGTACTAAACTGCTAACAATATACACCATGGTTCCTTTCTATCTCAATCATGTTATATCACATTCCTCAACTTTGATCATAATCAGTGACTAAGGCAATGTTGCTGATGGTAGCAGTAAAATTATACTACACCAACTCTGTTATGAATTCGAAAGGCCGAAGAGCACTTTGATAATAGTCCACAAAAATCAACACATAACAGCCAAATCAACACAAAAATTCACAAAAATCAACACATCACAAAATTATGCTTCTAAACTTGTGGAATAATTGACTCAACTCAACCGAACAACCACAATTTCACAAAAGTCAACAAAATTTGGTAGTTTGAAGGCTCTTTTTGGATGAATCATAGAAGAAGGGGAGAGAGAGAGAGAGAGATTAAATGAACCTCGTCAAACCAAATGTGTGTTCGTCCGTCGCCTCTCTGTCTTCATCTCTCGCCCTCGCGTTCGTTGTCTCTCCCGTTCGATCTGTCCAGCTCTGTTCGTCTCTAGCACTGTTCGTCTTTATCTATCAAAGGGGCTAGGGTACAACGAAAAGGGGCTGAAAAATAAGAGGTGAAAAAAAAAAATTAAAACGACGTTGTTTTTATGCGCGGCAAGGACGGCCGCAGGAAAGGGCGACCGAATATCCGAATTCTTTGTTCTAAGGCCCACTAGATTTGGTCAAACTTGTTTTATAAGAGCATAGTTCTTATAGTTGGGGTGGTGGTTTGAGATGTTCTAAATAAGTGTGTTTTTTTACTTTTTATGAAATATAGATAGGGTTTGGGTTGGGTTTGAAATGACGTGGTAGAGAGGTGATGTGACTTAAATAAGATGATGTGATAAGATAATGACTTTTTGACTTTTTTAGTACATGACAAACAAGGCCTTATTTTTTTCCACGGACTAATTATTGATATAGTTATTTTAATTAGATTTTTCAGGCCATCTTGGAGAGTTTTGAAAGATTATTTAAATTATTTTATGTGATTAAATATGTAAACTAAAAAGTAGTATTGAACAAAAAAAAAAAAAAAACTAGTTAAATAAAGTAAAGAATGTATATTTTTCATACTTTAACTACTAAAAAATGAAAAGTATAATTAGGCCTCGTTTGGGAACAGACTAATTTAGTAATTTTTTGGTTATTTGGCTAAAATATGAGTTAAAAAAAACTAGTATGTTTAGGATAACTTTTTGGCTTTTTACGAAAAGATATGTAAAAAGTAGAGAGAAAAGAGAATCTTTGACTTTTTGGTATGGGTTGGTGGCTTTTTGACTAATTTAGTAACTTTTTGACATTTTTACTAAAATAAAAGGTTCCCAAACGAGGCCTTAGAATTGCTCTAAATCAACAAAGGCTAACAAGTAGCTTATATTGTTTAGTATTATGATTAGGAGAAATTACCGCCCAGTGGTATTTCTACAATTATTATAAATTAATGAAAAAATTTATAAATTTAATTATTAATATTTATAAAATTTATTACCAATGTGTAATTATTTTTGTAAATATATACTAAATTAATATTTTCCCTTATGATTAAGGTAAATTTGCTTTATAAAACTTGTTTTCTCCCATTGATGATTTTATGATAAATTATGCAAATGGTGTCCAAAATAAATCATTGATTTCTTTTTAATGTCCAATTTTAATTGCATTCCTAAATTCTATACATTAATTTAAATTATTCTTTTTCTTAATTGTTGTCTAAATAACAGATGAAAAATACTTAAGTTAGTCTCATGTCAAGCATTAAAATGTAAAAATAAGGATAGATTCGGTTAAAAAACAATTATTTTTTTTCAATTATATAAATAAATAAGTGCAAATAATGATCAAAATGTTTTTCACTCAAATACTTGAAAAATAACTTTATTTTGTTGAAACCAAACATTCGCTAATTTCTACCTCCAAGAATATTCTTTCGATTAACTTGGGAACTTAAATAAAATAAAAAGAAAAAGTTTAAACTTTTGATAATGACATGATTTGAAACCTAACTTGTTAAAGTATTATGTAAGCATGTTTTAGGATTACTGAATAATTTTTTAACTTAAAGAGTTGATATTGAATCCAATGACATTAAATTAGAACAATTTTTGTCTGTTTCTTACAATAATATAAAATCAAAATTTTCAATGAATTCTCTATCAATATTTTTAAGAGCAATGCTAGAAGTACAACTCTAGTAATGAGCATCTCCCCTGTCGACCTCTACAGTGATCTCTTATTTTTTGGTAAATAAAAATTCACAAGACGACGTTATCAAATGATACTTTATTGTTTCTTTATATCGATAAATTAAATCAAAATGATGCCATAAAATTTCTTAGGGTATGATTAACTAGCGTGCTTCAGCCATGAACTTCTAATATGATTCAATTAAAAATTTAACTAAAGAAATCAAATTGATCAAGGGTTCACTTATGGGTATCATATGCTCAAAAGCTAATCAGTGACGTCTATACAAAACAAAACAAACAAATAAATATGTAGCAAATTGTCCTGTATTATTATATCACCAAATTAAAAAAAAAATAATAAAAAATGAACAAATGAACAATCAAGATCTCAAATGACGTGTAGTATCACACAAAACCTCACAACCAGCCCCAAGGATCTTCTAGAGTAAAATTTCTCTAAAATTTCTTAGAGTGTTATATTGTGTGGTTGAGATTTACTGACAAATCACATCAGAAAAATTAATGTGACTTGCCAGTAAACCTCAACCACACAATGTAACACTCTAAGAAACTTTTAAAAAAAATCACTCTAGAGGATCCTTGCTCCACAACCAGCACCACCTTTGTTCTTCATCATCTCCAAATAATAAAAACACTATGTTCTCTTCCTACCCATCGAAGAAGAGTTCCCATCAAACAGTCCCTCAATTAAAGTCTCAACATCTTCAGGCTGATACTTTATGTACTTCTCAGGCCTTCCCGAGTCCAAGTAGTGCCGAAACCTCCCGAGAAACGACCGGTAAGCCGGTATCACCACCGCCGATACCGACACCCTCAGCTCAGACTGAAGCTGATCATCACTCACAACCCATGTGCTCTGCGTCTTATGAATCTCATCAAACAACATACTAAAATTCTTAAACCTCTCTTTAAGAACTTGCTTTTGAACCTTCCCACTATTCACTTGCAACCCTTCATGTCCCAGACAGTGCAGCACTTTACCCCACGTTTCTCTTTGGTAATTCTTATGGTACTGCCTCACCACAGTGGACCTCATCCTATACCACGTGTCACCCACCAATTCGAGGATTTCGCTGGACCCTTTGATCTTTTGGAGTATGTATCGACCGTTGTTCATTAAAAATACGTACCGTAAAGATGGGTCCTTGTAGAGTTTTGACTTGGCGTCCAGATTTTCGTCTAAGAGCTCGACCACGGTCATTAGCTGTACTGCGAACGGTGATGATTCGTTGCCAGCCGTTTGATTATTGTTAGTTGAGCTTTGTTTATCTTTTGGACCGTCAGATTTGGCTAACGAGACGGTTCGGACGAGAGTCTTGTTCTTTTTGAAGATCTGTTCTAGTGTGTCTTTGTACTCACAGGTATATTTTAGATAATTCATGACGTAGCGAGTCAGTGGGTGTACTGCGCCACCGGGGACTGGTGTTTTCGAGGCGTCGCCTTTGATCGAGTTTTCGAGGTCGCAGAATATGTACACCGCGGCTTCGCCGATCCGATTGGCAGCGGCGGAGATTTCGGAGCTTAGTTCGCAGCCGCTATCTTTTGAGCAAGATTCGTTGATCGCCGGAATTAGATCGCGGAGAGCCTCGTACATGTCGAGGTATTTGAAAAGCTTCTCCGCAGATCGCCGAGTTAATACCATCGCGTCGGCGAAGGTGAGGAGTTGGATCACCACCGATCGAGCGAGGTTGCTGAAGATGATTGCGGAGATCGATGGATTATCGGAGAAGACGGAATCGCAGAGCTTTCGTTCGCCGGGGAAGAGCACGGTGGCGCATTGTTTCACGACTTTGATCCAAGTCCCGATCTCTCCTTCTAAGAGCTCCCATTGCATTCTCTGCACGTCTTCGATGCTGATCGTGTCGAAATCTAGGTTTTTCATAGCTTCGTTGAATAGATTTCGCCTTGCAATGTTGAAAACCTGATAACACTCTGTTTCGTACCCTGCCAAAATCATCGCCGATGCAATTGTCGACATCCTATTCACGGCCTCCGGAGAGTACGCCGGAAATGCCTGCTCTCCGGCATTCGAATCAGAATCCGGCACACCACACCGATCCGAGTCTTCTTGCTTGGAGGAGTTGGAGTTGGAGTTGGAGTTGGAGTTGAATGACGATTGCTTTGCTCTTAGAACCTTCGAATTCGAATTCGAATGCGAATCCGAGTAGTTTCTAGAATTTTCTAGAAGGTACCGAAATTCCTCCTCTAAAAATGACATTGCTCGTTGCAACACCATGCTGATTCGATTGAGAGACAAAGTGGTGATGGAGGTGGAGGGGAAATCGCCGAAGGCGGTGGTGAGCTTCGAAATCCGCCTCACGGCTTCGAGAAAGAAGGAATCGTCCTCCATCATCTTCCCGAACTTCTTGGGAGAATTGGCGGAATAGTACCTGACGATCCTTGATTCGAGGATTTTTGAGAAAATTTCAATCGTGTCAGGGACTTCCGGTGGACTGGATTTGTCATTGACGGCGGAGAGGGTGTTGGTGAATCGATCAATGTCTTTGGAAACTTGATCGACGTTGTGATTTTCAACCTCTTCGACATTAATATCCCTCCACGCAGTATCCCCACCGTCCCATCTCTCTTCGATAAAGTGCAAATCTGGCGTTCTGGGACTGGGGATTTCGCTCTTTCTGCGGCCATGGCGTCCTGTAATAAAACTACCAGATTTCTCCGAAGAATAATTCTTTTCCATTCGGTCTTGGTTTTGATATTATTATGTTTTCAGACGAGGGAAAAAAAATTAGATGGGAAGAATCAAAAGGAGAAATGGAAATGGAGGAGAATTGTTATAATGCATTGTAGTGCTTTGTGATTCATGGTTGTTTTGTTTGGTTTGGGAGATGGGGTGGAATTTGAAAAGGTGGCTTGTGTTTTGATTCTTAGGAATAACAAAGTGTTAGTTTTTGCTTTTGTTTTTCTTGAATTGCATTTTTTGAAGATGTTTTTGGCCATATATTTTCGTTTGGTGGTGGTTGACTGTTGACCCGCCGGAGGTGGTGAGTTTGTGCTATGCACGACTTGGGTTGTGTTTGTTTCATTCTATTGTCTTGCCATCTCATGCACCATCCATTGTACATACAATACGATACAGGGTAACCTCAAAATGACAACTTTAGAATTAGAGGTAGGGTATGATGGGACAGTTGAAAATGATAGGCCATGTTCGTTTAGAATGATTAAATTAGGGGATTAAATTAGGGAATAATGGGGTTTACATACTTAGGGATCACCAAAATTTGATTTATGAAATCTGTCTTGAAGTAATGTTCAGTTGAACGATGTAGTTTCATAATGAATTTTATAAAATTTTCATAATTCATAAGTATACTTGACGTGTAAGAGCATGAAAGTCATGAATCACTATAAATAACTCAAACTCATCATTTGGGGGCCAATACATATCCAAGCTAGTGAGATCCAGAACAGCTGGAATCTAACATGGCATAAAGAGTCAATGACATTCAGACACATGGCAGGTGAAGGACGAGTCATATCAGTAGATAAAGATCTGCAAAATTATTGTCACTGCACATCACCACTAATGCAGCCCATCACAGCATTTATTGCGACAACACCTCTCCGTCGGAACAGGACCCCCTTACCCTGAACAAGGTAAGCTACAGCATAGACTTTCGGCGAGGAGCTCAGGTCGGAAGGGACAGCGAAATGATTACCAAAGGATATAAGCAAACGTTGAAGACAAGAAAAAGGTTAAGCTTTTCTATCTCTAATCTCTCACTCTGCACTCTTTTGTACTCTACTTCTCTTCCTAACTTGCTCGTCGGAGGGTTCATTGGGGGACTACCCAGTTCCCCGTTGAACTTGTTTGCGGGTTATCCGGTGGGCTTGATCATTTGGACGTGGGCTTGAGGAGCTTGGACCAGTCCAATCCACTCACTGGAATAAACTGTATCATCAGTTGGCGCCGTCTGTGGAAAAGACTTTGCTCCGCGCGCCAGTTGTGCTCATTGTCGCCGGAGACCCTATCCCAACAACCTTTTCCTCATACCCATCAAAGTGTATGGTCACGACTAGATCCATGGCTTCTCACAATAATGCTGCCGACCATCAGGTCGACCCCCCAATCCAAATAACCCACCACAGTATTTTATCAAGGGTACCAACAGCATTAACCGCATGGCCGAGCAAAACCAGGCCCTGATAAATGCTTTACTCCAAAGAAACCTTCCGATGCCTCCTCCACCACCTCCAGATATTCTACCCAACCAAGAAAGAGCCCCGAGCCATACTGTTCCGCAACCCTATCCACCAAACTTGGAAGGTTTGCAACCTCCTCCCCCACATATAAATCTACCACCTCTACCCCCACACCGGTCGGTCGTGGCACCAGCCCCTGAAGGGGAAGCCAGCAGTGTCTAGCCCCCTTTGACTGACCGTGGTGACAATATTCCCCTCTACGACGCTGAACTCCGAGCAATGAAGCTCCAACTCCAAGGGGTCATGCAAAACATTCAGCATAAACCCTCTACCACGGTAAACTCACCATTTGTTGCCTCCATCTGGGACAAACCTCTGCCTACCAAGTTCAAGATGTCCACCATTGACTCTTTTGACGGTACGACGGACCCAGTCGACCATCTGGAGACCTACCGTACCCTCATGATCCGTCATGCCTTCCTTGACGAGATCATGTGTCGGGCTTTTCCCGTGACACTGAAGGGGTCAGCTCGACTGTGGTTCAGCCAGTTACCAACAGACTCTGTCTCCACTTTCTAGCACCTCAGCGACTCCTTCCTTAGCCATTTCATTGGAGCCCAGCGCCAACGCCGCTTGGCAACCCAACTCCTCAACATTCGTCAGACCGACGGGGAGTCGCTGCGCAGTTTCGTTACCCGCTTCAACACCGAAGCCCTGCAAGTAGCGGAAAACGATGACAAGGTCATCCTCACGACTTTCATAGCCGGGCTACGATCGTCCGATTTTCTCTTCTCCCTCTCCAAAAACCCCCCGACCTCCATGGCAGCCCTACTCTTCAAAGCCCAGAAATACATGAATGCTAAAGATTCACTAGCCGCCTGACAGGATCCAATAGCTAAAAATCCGACCCCCAGAGAAAAGAGAAAAGACTTAGAACCCAGAAACACCCAGTATAATAGCCAAACACCCCACTATACAGACCGACCCCCCCGCGCTGACCGGTCGGTACCAGCCCGACCGCCCGGTCGGTTCGAGCGGTACACTCTCCTTAATTCTCCCATGGAACAACTCCTCAACCAGATCCAACGGGACTACCCCCTCAAATGGCCTCTACCTTCATGGACCCCTTCCAATCAGAAAGACCAATCTAAATATTGTCGTTTCTACCAAGACCATGGCCATGACACTGATGACTGCATCAACCTCAAGGATCAGGTCGAGACCCTAATACGTCAAGGGCGTCTCAGCCGGTTCACGGACACTCGCCCACAGCAGAGGCAAAGAACCGAGCCCCTCAAAAATAACTGCCAGCGTACCCTACCCCAGCAGCCAATGTAACAACCCTCATACTGTTTACCGATTAATGACTGATTGAGTACCGATAAACAGTGATTACCGTTAAACTGAACTAATTATGACTGATAATTGGACTGGTTAAAGTACTGAACTGACTGACTGAAAACTGGAACTGAATTGACTGAGTATGTGTGTTAATTGGTATTCTATCTGTTTGATTGTTTCTTTGATCTGTTCACGTGTTCCGTTTAAACTGCTAATTGAAGGCCTTATCGGCGGCCGAAGCCGGAACTGATTGATGTTTTATGATCATCATAATTAATGTGATTTTATGGTATATTTATCTGAAAACTGATTAGGTGTGATTAAATTAGATTAAAATGAGTTAAATTGCACCAGTTGCCGTAATTACCATTTTGCCACACTTAGTGGCCACTATCTCACACACATGTGAGCCTTGTACACACTTGAACAACATTTCATTAGCCCCTTCTTCTTGCTCAACCGACCATGAGAGGGAGAGAGTGAGAGAATTTGGTTTTCATCTTGAATTGCTTGGAACTTGGAGAATTGCTTGCTAATTAAAGGGTAGATTGCTTAATTGAACCTCTAGACTTGCATTCAAGGAACCTAGGTATGAATTTCATCCTTTTGGTTTGTCTTTAAGTTGATTCATGCATGGTCCATGTTAGATTGTAGAGCTAAGTCTTGTTTTAGTTCATACATGTTGATATAGAGCTCATTCCATGCTTGCATGTTTGAATTAATGAGTTTTGAGTTGAATTCATGGTGAAATGGTGCATGCATGTTCATGATTTTGTAATGGTCCATGTTTTCAACTTGTTTTTGGATCAATTGGCTTCTTAGAGCATCAATTTGGAACTTCAAAGTGATTTGAATTCATGCATGTTTGCATGTTCTTCATATTCTTGAAAAATGGTTTGAAATTGAGTTTGAATTAAACACCCTTGGGCTTGATTTCTCAAATTGAGCTTTGAACCATGTTATTCTATGTGTTTATAAATGTTTCCCAGAAAATGGGCCCAAGAGGATTGGTTTTGATGCATTTGAATGTGAGTTTGAGCTTGGAAGTGCAATCTGGAATTCCCAGATTTTGCACTTACGCTCGAGCGGGGTAAGTGGCGCTTGAGCGTGGAATCCGAGCATCCAGCATCTCTCTGCACTGTTTTACAGTCCGCTCGAGCGGAGGATTGGGCGCTCGAGCGGAATCACGTGTCTCAAGCTCGAGCGGGCGTCCAGCGGAGATTTCGCCCATCCAGTACTTTTACAGTACGCTCGAGCGGAAAAGTTTACGCTCGAGCGTCTTCGAGATGCGCAACCTCGGATCGGGGGCAATGGAAAATTGCCCCTGGTTTGAAAAAGGGGGGGGGGGGGGCAACGGAAAGTTGCCCCTAGTTTGGAAGGCGGCTCACAGCGGCTCGTGGCAACGGAAAGTTGCCCCTTGTTTGGGATGGTGCCGCAGCGATCTGCAGACAGTCTTCATTGGCGGTGGTCGAACTCTCAGACACAGAGATGACGAAGACGGTCACAACACATATTGTTTACAGATTCATTTGGATGGTGTTGGCAACTGGGGAGACACGCTCTAGCATACTGTAGCCCAACCTCTGTGAGTAACAATTGTGTAAAGATATGTTCAACTGATTATCTTTTGAATACTGAACTGAACTGTTTATTGAACTGGTATTACTGAATGAATGTATGTCCTTTATTTCTGAACTGTACTGTGGCATCCTTAGTACCTACTGTTTACTGTTACTGTTACTGTTACAGAGATCTCTGTCGGTTCCCTCGTGGAGCCACTACTGTTTTCTGACTGATGGCCATCATTACTGTTCGGTCTTTTAAGACCTACTGTTACTGTTATGTTAATGGATGTACCACATATGACTGTTTATTGTACTGAACAACTGAAATACTGATTGAATTTGAACTGTTTTCATTACTGTAAGGACATTCATTCTAAACCCCTTTACGCTTTATGTTATTCACTGGGCTTTAGCTCACTGCTCATATATATATGTAGGTGTACAGGCACCGGATCAAAGCTAGAGGCGTCAGGGTTTTCCAGTTTTGTCAAGCCAACCACCGTGCCTCACTGCGAGGTTCCGAGTTCGCCATGCTATGGCTTGGGGTGTCTTTTCCCCCGCTAGTCCCTGTTACTGTTTGTATTACTGTACTGCACTGCTGTACTGTACTGTTATCAAGGGATTAGATCCCTGTACTGAATGTCTGTAAATGCTTGTATAGCCTGTACTGTTGTGATTATATGAATACATGAAAAATCTTTTTGGCATACAGACTGTCACAGCTCATTGGGCATTGTTTATTTACTGTTTTGGCTTCCGCCAGGCCCTGTACTCTGTTTTACTGTATTACTGTTCTGCAGGCCTTCGGTAATCTCGGATTACTGGCCGGTTACGGTGCTAAACCCATAGGGCCGGGTTTGGGTCGTGACAGCCAACCCAACCTAACCAAGGCCATGATCACCCCCCACAATAGCCTCGGCCGCCAGGTAATCCCCCTCCGCCAGTTGGTGAAATTCGAGTCATTTCAGGTGGCCTTGCTTGTGGAGACCATCCCGCTCGGCTCAGAGGGCAAAACTCAGAAAGATAAGGCAAGGCTCAGACAAAGCAGTTGCCACGGTAGACCGACCCT